TGTTTACTTATGTTATTCATTGCCACAAAACATTACAAGTGAGAATTTACAATGGAATAACTGCAGAAGAATTGTGATACTACTTTTATTTACAAACTGTCATTAACTATAAAAGACAAGTATCTCTACAATTATAACATTACCAACCCAGTTGCTAAATAAACAATGACCTATTGGGCTATTGTTTATTTAGCAAAGGAAAGGTTTTAAATCAATCCAGATTAAGCCTTTTAAAGGCTTAAAAAAAAGGCTTTTAAAGGCTGAGCCTTTATTTAGCGCCAAAATAAAAGCAGATATTTGTCCGCGGACATTATCGGTTCCAAGAAGTGAACAGTTTTCTGAGAGTAAAGCTCGATGAAAGCTGTGAGCTTCGAGGAACAGATTATGTCCAAGGACAAATATACGAGTATATTTTCGCGCCAAATGGAGGCTATTGTGTTTATCATCCTTCAAATATTTTACAACACTCATGAAAAAATCGTTACAAATAGCTTACTGTTTTCTGCTTGAAATATGTATATTTTTAAGTTTTCTCTCGTACGCCTTTATGAGGAAACAAATGTTTCCCTTCTTCTGTAACAACCACTTAACGCTCTCTCATCTTGAATTAAATATTCGTAGTTGACGACAGGTTTGAAAATCGGGGAATATCACTAGGGTAATATCCTCGGACATCCCACAGTTTTAGCTGGGGAATATTCGGTCAGGTGATGTATGAAGACCAATTGCGCGCGAGCAAAAAGTATTTGGTGGATCATAAAACCAAATTATGACGTATGTACTAATTGTTTACCCAGTCATATTCTTTTTTTCTTTCAGTGCAACAAATAAAGTAGCAGCCAACGTTATCCACAAGTGCCGTCCATTTCTGGGGCATTTGAATCTTCGCGGATGTTACAATTTATCGAGTGAAAGCATCAAACTTACTGGTACGGCTGTATATGCTTGAAGTAATTTTTTGAAAATTATATTTTGCGTTATTTCTAACAGCGCATCACTGTTGTTATGGAAGGAAATATTTCTTTTGTTTTAACCTTCAGCTCAGTGCAGAAATCTGCAAGATCTTAACTTATCAGAATGCTCAGGGGTTACGGTAAGGACTGATAAT